GACATCCGGTTAATGTCGACATTAACATGTTAATGTTCGGGTTAGGTTATGTTTTTGGTTGTTTTGTTGTGTGCAATTCTCCAGATTAACCGGGTAATGTCGACATTAACCGGACATCGGACCTTAACCGTAACATATATATTCTCAACGTGTTTATTTTTTTGCCAATGATATGTATTGACTATTTCCATTCTAAATATCTTGAAACAGTTGCTCGTAGCGATTTTTACCAAGAGACATTTTTTACGTAAAAGTCACGCAAATGTATATTTTTTCACTCAGTAGTTTTATACAGGTAAGGATGAAAAGTTATTACTCTTCAAAGCAATTAAACACATGTAGGTGGCGCCCACTACAAATAGAAGTTATATCGACATCAAAATCAAATCTCTCATGTCAAAAAACTCCCAGACATCAATTTTCATCCAAATATTGACGTTACTGCAGCAAAATCTGTCTTATCAACTTATATTTCATTTTTATTGTCATTATTGTTGCAAATCCCGCATTTTTTTCATAGGCTTTTTAGACAACTGATGACGTCTTATCCATTTCCAATCCTTACCTAACTTTAATAAAATAGCATATCTAATAAATCAAATTAGGATGCCAAATATCTTACAGTAGCAAAACCTGCAATATGTATCATACTGCAACAAAACCCGTCTTATCCGAATTATTTTTGTCTTTTTTCTCTTTAAAAATCAACTCAATTAGCGGGAAAATTATCAAAAGGGGACTAAATATGAAAACACTCGTTGGTCTATTATAACATTTATTACCCGACAAAAGAAACTCTTGAAGATCAGTAGTTGAAAGAAAAATATTTATTCACTATAACACGGCGGTAGGTCTACTCCTGTTAACCAAAATTTTTTGAAAGAAATTGACCTGCTCTTCTGTTAAAACCGAAAATAAACGAAAAATGGAATTTCTTATCCCGGTTTGGTAAAATCAACAAGCACTATTTTTATTATGTGTGTTTACATTTTCGACGGTTTAACACATGTGCGTGGCCGTGGGTGATCGTTCATAATGAATGTTTGGTCCCACGCGATGCAGCATATTTCAAGTTCAAGTAAAAATAGATGGATGAAACAGAAAGTATTCCCGTATTTTATTTTAGAATTGTGAATTCTTTGAGGTAATTATGTATACAAATTATGTAATAGTGAAGGTCGCAATTAAACACATTAGAGCAGGTATCCTTAAAAAATCGCTATCAAACTTAAGACAATATTATTGTAATATGATTTACAAACGTGAAGAATTATATAATACTTCAGATAACAAAAACCGATCATTAAAAAACGCTGTCTTTAAACTCGATTGATGTGCATCAAAAGTCAAAAGAAAGAGGGGATAAATGTCAAATTATTTCACTATGTCTGACTATGTCGAAAACTATGACTACAGAAAAATACTTTATACTGGGCGAGTCTTAAATAAGTGCAAATATTTTTAGAGATACTTTTTAGAAACGCAAAATCACGTCTAGAAGGTTTTGTATTGTAAAAGAAAATTGAAAATTGGAATTTTTTGAAAAAACATTTGGAAATTTTTTTAGTTTTTAGTTAAAAAACATATTTTCTTGAAATAAGTCGACATAGGTAGTAAATTAAATTTACAAGAAAGAAAACACAGAAAAAATCCACTCAAAATTTAAATAATTTTTTTTTAATTTTCGAAGTAAAGTAGAATGTAGAATGTTTAGGAGGGGAGTTAATCACCGCGACCTTATAGATCTATTTTGTGTTCCCCTTTCTTGAGTTATAACGAGTTATAACTCATCATACAGTCTCAGGGCTTTAAGAAAAGCCAGTATCTGAGACGGCTCCACAGAGGCCAGCTCTCCATCCTCGACATCAGACGTACCAAGGTTCATGGCACGAATGGTCGTCGTCTCGGCGCACTCAGTGATAAGGTGTTCTGGTGTTTCCCCATTTTCCCCACAAAATCTGCATTCGCCGTTGTTTCTCAGTTTCGGCCTACTGAGGTGTTCGTTGAGGAGACAGTGTCCTGTTAGAAACCCCGTGACAATCCGAAGATTGTTTTTACTTAAATCAAGGAAAACCTTTGATTTTTCTCGGTCATAAGTTCCGAGGAACTTTTTGGAGTGTCTTAGACCGTTGGAGGACACCCATTCCAAGTTACGGATAGAGTCTTCCAGATTCTTCAGTTCCGCTTTCAGTTGGTTCCCGTTTGGAAAACAGAATGGTTCTGGTCCAGTTAGTGGAGTGTTCGCTCCTTTTCTAGCTAGATCATTTGCTTTTTCATTGCCTTCTATCCCTTGGTGAGCAGGCACCCAGAGTAGGAGGACTTTATTTTCTTTGCCTAATTTGTTGAGCTTTCCAGGCATTCTTTGACCAACTTCGAATTGATGGTTACTGAGTTGATCGCGTTAAGTGCTGCTTGACTATCGGATAGGATGGCAATTTCCCGTTTTCGACAGTTCCTATCTAAGATAAATTGTACGCATCTTTCGACAGCGCAAATTTCTGCCTGAAGGATACTGGGGCAGGTGCCTATTGGTTCGGAGTATTCAGTTTTCGGCTCAAATACTCCTATCCCTGTCCCTGCTTTGGTTTTAAAGAAGTAAAGTAAAGTAAGTTGTTTAATTATTTTAGACTTATTTGAAAAACAACAAAGAGAAAATATGTTTCTTTTATCGAGATATTGACAATTTTTTTTCAAAAATGTAAGCATTTTTGTCACCGGACTTAGTTCCTGATATGTACCTAAGCTTCTAAGTTTGGATACTAAATAAAAATTCTTACGATATATCTCATTTCTTTAGCTTTTAAAAACATCTTGGATAAAAAGAGTGTATACCTCACTAAGAAGTTTTAAGTGCTCTTATCAAGGGGTCCATAGAGCCCTAGAACTATAAAGCACTTTACAGCGCTTTCAGATGAAGCGGACCGTCCGCGCGGACTGACCGCGACTTCGAGCAAGTACAGTTTATACCCTGCTGGCAAGCGAACCTTTAGGTCGGCGTTTATATGTATAGGAGTGAGTCATTATGGCAATCTAGTAAGTCGAAGTGAGCAAAAATACGAAGTATTTATTACATAACTACCTAATCTGAGGATAGATTCCATGCGCTTGGGAAAATACTCGCCTTCTTTCTCTATTCAGTACATCTTATTTTACTAAGCGTGTTGACCGTACTCTTCGTACACATGAAAACCGGCACCCAAGACCAGAAATGCCGTCCCTTAACACGAACAATTTCACATAGGTCGCGTATGCTCCGTCCAGATGATTTCGTCTGACGGAGATTTGGTATGTTAGTATATGACATAAATTAGGATTGATTGACGTATTCAATTGTTTTCGGTCACTTCCGGTTTCACCGGAAATGACTACACCTTTTGATTTATAAATGACACCCTGGGTATTTTGTTACTTTATTCGATAGAAAATGACACTCTGAATAGAATAGTTTCGAACATAGTTCATTTGAAATTGCAACATGCTATTCATAACGACAATTTGACTCGAAATACCAAGTGTGTGGTACCAATTTATTCGCAAAAAAATGTTTTTTTCCTAATATGCCAATGAGTCACGCTCGTTCCATTTGAAAAAATTAAGATATGATTAAAAATACGACTTGGGTATCTTTTAACCGGCCAGGACAATATTATACGATTTTTCCAAGGCTCCTTGGTTAAAAATTAGTGTTTCAATACAGCCATGGCACTCTAGATTGAAATTTAAAATACAATTTTGTTTTAAGCGAAAATGTCAAAGGTTGACGTATGATATGTGATTCTATTCAGAATGCCATTTTCTATTGAATAAAGTAAAAAAATACCGAGTGTGCTATTTAAAAATCAAAAGTTGTAGTAATTTCCGGTGAAACAGGAAGTGGCCGAAAAGACTTGAGGCGTCAAACGTTGTTTTGAGAAAATAAGCAAAAACTGTTTTAGCAAATGTTTGAAGAGTTAATTTACAAAAAACGTGTCCATTGAGTGGAATCATTGTTTTGTATCTCGTTTTACTAGAAATAAAAATTAATATTTAATTTTTAAACAGAAAAAAACACAAAAATAATTCAGATAAGGCGGGTTTTCTTGCAGTATGATACATATTGGCTATGAAATGAAAAATGCTGTCATTTAATATCTAAATTTATATGGGAAATGTCATCGATCGTCGTTTCCAAGCCAAATGAACGCCGTTTTTTTCGATCATACGGCATTTGCATCGTAACTTCATTTATTAAAGATACTATTTTATTATAATTAAGTAAGGATTTGAAAAGACGTTAGTAGTAATATATTTGTGTAAAAAGTTTATGAAAAAATGCGAGGTTTGTAACAATAATGACAATAAAAGCAAATATAAGTGGATAAGACGGATTTTGCTGCAGTAACGTAATTTTTAGTGAATTTTATATAGGAATAGGCGACTTTTACTGCAATTTTGGATTATGTTTAAGTAGATTTCAGGGTCCCACTATTAATATATTATATCATTAGGCCATTTAAAAAAAATGGATAAGGCGGGTTTTGCAACTTGACGCCTCAATTGGATACGTCAATCAATCCTAATTTATGTCATATACTAACATACCAAATCTCGCTTTTTATCTGAGAAAATAAAAAAGTTATAGGGGTGAGCCACTATTGAGATGCACCTGGTATTATTAATAATTATTTCTATTAAGCAAAACAATAAAACAAGATTAAACAAAAACATAAAATGTTCTCATATATCCAACTTACTCTTTATATTTCATACTTAGAACAGATACAGTTTAAATTGCATTACTTTAAATCTAATTACTACTTTGATAACACTCGTATTAAAAACGGCATGATTAATTAATTTATTAATAAAGATATGTCGCACAAAAACGTCACAACTCTATCGGCATCACCGATGGCATAAACATTCTTGACCATAAAAGTAAACAAAACATTAATTAAAATTATCACGGACGATCGGTGGAAGGGGTAGCACTACGGGTCACTTGTAGGGAAGGGGCAGCCGTTGAATTGTAGCCCCCCGGACCAAATAAGGACGACGCGGGACTCTGTGCGCCTTAAATCCGGGCGTCCTTTTATGGGCCCTCGCGTCTCCACTATGCGGGGCCCTTATAAAAAGTCACATTTGAGTGCGCACAACACTCGTACGAACACACTCCACGGGTCGCTGCGAACTAAGTCTCAAGGTTGGTATTTTACACACTGTGTAGTGATTGTGTTGCGATTTTGCTGTTACTCCTATTCCTTTTGGTGGAGGGAAAAGTTGTGTTAGAGTATAAAATCAGTGTTTAGTGATAATTTCAGTGAAATTGTATGTGTGTTGATTCCTTAAAGGTAAATTTTTAAATTAAAAAAAACTGTTAAAGACTCCTATTTTTTATTATTAGATATTGAGGTAAATTTAATTATTGATGTTAGAAGATTTAGTACTGGGGCAACTGATTATTTTGAGTAACTCTTGTTAGAAATATCTAGATAATTGTATTCTCTACAAATTATAATATTATTTTTTAATTCACCAAGCGAATGCTATTAGGTATATTTTTACTTAATTGTTTGTCTTATAAAAAAGAATATTTATTTGATTATTTTACTATTTTAGTTTCTTTTAAATACTATGTAGAGTTGCATGTATTACCATACAGGGTGAGTCTTAAAAAAGCACAAATATTTTCAGGATTGGTGGATCTCAAATAAAGAAATATATTATCTCTTTGTCGTTTTTCAAATCAGTCCAAAATAGCTTTAGTTTCAAAATAGTTATTTTACTATGAAAATAAAAAAAAAAATATGGTTAAATTTTATAAACCATTGGATTGTTTTCTGCTTTCTTCCTTCTAAATTTAATGTAGTAACTAATAAACTAATAAAAAAAAAAAATTTTGTCCAATTCGGCAACCTGCAATTTTATTTATCACAATTAATAAAATAAAAAATAAAATTAATAAATTATATATTTTATCTAATTTATTATTAAATATTATTACTAATAGTTATTGTTACTATTAGTCCAACATACAGCAATTTGAAATACAAAAATAATGGTATTTAAGATAATTACACAAAACCTCTAATTTTGAAATGTTTTAACATCCTGTAATTCTAAAACTATGCATTTCCATACTCTTGTTTATAGGATTTTTCTTTCATATTTTTTGGTAAGGAATCAATGAGTCCTTGTTTAAAACTTTCGCAAGTTAATGATATTAATTTTTTTTAAAGGTTGCTATTACTAGTAAATTCATAAAGTTACGTTTATCTCATCAAGGAGGGCGAAATCGACAAAATATCAAGAGACAACTTCTAATCGGCATTAAACTGCCTACACTATTTCGCTAACAAGAGTAAAAAAGTTTGTGGCGTCCCTGGTGAATATGTCGACCTTTTTTTAGCTTTAAAATATGTCGCATTTATAGTAACTTTTACCATCAAAATTTCATTCGAAATTTTGAAAGTACTTGGAAGAAAATATAATAAATCAGACTGAGCAAACACCCTGTAGCTACAAAACAAAGCAGAATCGGACCTATATTGATATGAAAAATAAATCTTATTTTTACATGAGGAATCTCCAGGAACTAATAACTACTAATTGTGTTGAAAGTCTTATTGAAAAATTATAAAACTGAATATTTTTTCAGTACCAATTGAGGCATATTCTATACATATAATACAACATAAAAATATTATGTATATGAACGTAATTTAAAATATAGAATGCATTTCAAGATTAAGATAATTTCTCTAGGAGTTCTTCTATAAAAACCGATTTATCTATTATTTGAACTATTTTTGTTTTAAGATTTCAACTTGATGAAATACTAAGTAGATAGTTAAGGAATAATTATTACTGCCTGTGACGCATTTCTTTCTGCATTTGGACTTCAGAAATTTAATGCTTGACGTCAAATTTTATACCTTATGCTCTGCCTTATGTCACTTACACCATTTAAGGGAAAGTAATTATGTAACTAGAACATGGCGGTTCAATTATCTACACTTCTTAATTATAGCATTGATTCTAAAAAAAAATTAATTTGTTTTCAATTAAAATATAAAATATTTTTGAGTTAGCTATATGAGACAAATATTCTTAATAAGTTACTTTGGTTATAAAATTCATGCATATTTCAGAATAATAAAAAAAATTAATTTGTTTTCAATTAAAATATAAAATATTTTTGAGTTAGCTATATGAGACAAATATTCTTAATAAGTTACTTTGGTTATAAAATTCATGCAGCTATTTCAGAATAATCAGAAAGATTCTTTTTAATACACCTATATCTTGGGTATATGTAAATAATAAATCACTAACTGTAGATACCAAACTTGATAAAAAAGCATCTGCAGGAAATTTAAAATTAGTTACCTACACAATCCGGAACTGAACGTTCTGCTGATATTTAACATTCTTGCACCAGATGCCCCACCAAGAAATTAAACATAATGTACGTAGTACGTAGGATCTAGGATCTAAGTATAAAATCTGTTCTAAAAATAAAAGGTATTCACTTGGTAAAATTATTAAAAACTTTTACTGCATTTATGTATAGTTACTAAAAACATGGGGGACATAAGTGCAAAGTGCTATATTTTATTACTTAAAATCATATTAAAATGGCATCCATAAGCAATAATTTGAAAATTTTGTGTGTGACTGTGAAACTTTCTTTTATTAAACAGATATAGGTAGTAACTCAGTTATTTGCAGCATACCACACCCATATACAGGGCGTTTCAAAAAACATGTGCCATCTCTCGTGGGGAGATTCCTCTCGTAAAAATAAGATTTATTTTTCATATTAACACAGGTCCAATTCTGCTTTGTTTCGTAGCTACAGGGTGTTAAAGTCCTAATATTTTTTCGATTTATTATAATTTTCTTCCAAGTATTTTTAGCGTTTCGAATGAAATTTTGAGGGTAAAAGTTACTATAAGTACGACATAAGTACGACACATGGAATATTTTTCTAAAAAGGCATTTACGTCAATTACTTTTTTCTCTTTTTAGCGAAATAGCACAAGCAGTTTAATGCCGATTAAAAGTTAACTCTTGATATTTTGTCGATTTCGGCCTCCTTGATGAGATAAACGCTATTTTATTAATTTGCCTTGATCCAAATCTAATAGCAAATAACCTTCTAAAAATTTTAATATCATTAACTTGCGAAAGTTTTAAATAAGTCCTCATTGATTCCTCATCAAAAAATATGAAAAAAAGTTCCTATAAACATGGGTATGGAAATGCATAGTTTTAGAGTTACAGGACGTTAAAACATTTGAAAATTAGGTTTTTTGTAATTATTTTAAATTCCATTATTTTTTTATTTAAAATTGCTGTAGGTTGGAGTAATAGTAATAATATTTAATAATAAATTAGGTAAAATATATAATTTATTAATTTAATTTTTATTTTAATTTTATTATTTGTGATTAATAAAATGAGGCCGAATTCGACAAAAATATCAAGAGATAACTTTTAATTGGCATTAAACGGCTTACACAATTTTGATATAAAAAAAAGGCAGTGGCACAAATGTTCTTTTTTCGAAAAATATTCCAGTGATAACCCATATGCACGTCCCTGATGAATTTATGGACACTTTTTTAGCATTAAAATATGTAGCACTTATAGTAACTTTTATCCTCAAAATATCATTCGAATCACTAAAAGTACTTGGGAGAAAATTATAATAAATCGAAAGATTTTAAGATTTTAACACCCTGTAGCTACGAAACAAAGCAGAATCGTTGGTATGAAAAATAAATCTTAAGGTCGATTTATAGATTGAAAACGGTGCGGTTCGACGTTGCGGTTGCGATTATTTCTATTGGATTACTAACGTTTCAAGGTCAACGTTCCTGTCGAAGTTAAAAGTTGGTTAACTTTTGACGTAAAACGTCAACCACAACAACAACCGATCGCAATCGCAACGTTTTCAATCTATAAATCGACCTTTATTGTTACGTGAGGAATCTCCCCACGAGAGATGGCACATGTTTTCTTAAACACCCTGTATATTTACCTCTGTATATAGTATGCATTAAAATACAGACCACGGAAATAAAGTGACCAATATGGTATAAAATTAATATTAAATTATGTATTATAAGATATTGTTAATCGCAGATCTCTCACACACAAGAACGGTAGACTATTAGGCACCAGCCTTGTTTAAAGGGCACCAGTGATCAATTTAATGAATTACTGTAAAACTTATAATATGTATCCACTAAATACCTATACAGGGTGGTCCGAACTGTATTCCGGAAACTTCGGCAGCATATTCTGCAGATAAAAATATGTAAAAAAGTTCGTATAAATGTATATCCTAAAATGTTTAGTTTCAGATACAGGGTGTAGAAGTTTTATTTTTATTTCGATTTTTTCCAAATAATTTCTGAAATAACGTCAATATTTGGATGAAAATTGGTGTCTGGGAGTTTTTTGACATAAGAAATTTGATTTTGATGTCAATATGACTCCCATTTGTAGGTGGCGCCACCTACATGTGTTTTAACTGATTTGAAGAGAAATAACTTTTCGTCCGTACCTGTATAAAGGAAATGAGTGAAAAAAATATACATTTCCGTGACTTTTTACGTAAAAAATGTCTCTTACTAAAAATTGCTACGAGTAACCGTTTTCAAGATATTTAGAATGGAAATAGTCAATACATGTCATTATTGGCAAAAAATAAACAAGTTGTGTAGATATATGTGGTAGATAGTTATTCCATTGAAATAATAAATTCCGGAATTTTTTTTTAAATTAATCCTAAATTTTTCTGTAAAAAAATGATGATAAAACAGTTTCTGTTGAACTTTTGGCACAAAAACATTTCAAATTTAGGATTTCAGTGTAATAACTACTTAGTCGACATGTTTAATTTATGTCAATGATGACAGGTATTGATAATTTCGATTCCAAATATCTCGAGAACCATTACTCGTAGGGATTTTTCCCAAGAGACCTTTTTTACGTAAAAATATCGTAAATGTATATTTTTTTACTCAGTAGTTTTATACAGGTACGGACTAAAAGTTATTACTCTTCAAACAAGTAAAAAAATATGTAGGTGGCGCCCTCTACAAGTAGGAGTCATATTGACATCAAAATCAAATTTCTCATGTCAAAAAACTCCCAGACACCAATTTTCATCCAAATATTTACGTTACTTCATAAATTATTTGGAAAAAATCGAAATAAACATGAAACTTCTACACCCTGTATCTCCGAATTTAAGCGTTTCAGGACATATATTTATACGAACTTTTTTACTTATTTTTATCTGCAGAATATGCTGCTGAAGTTTCCGGAATACAGTTCGGACCACCTTGTATGTAATTTTGTTTTTAAAATAATTATAGAAAATGAAGAAAATTCTTCTAATGTTTCATCAAAAAACATTCTTAGAGGAATTTAATAGAAATATTGGTGTATGTATGGCATCGACCTCTAAAAATAGTCCCCTCCACAAAAAAATCGTCAATATGAATTCGTCCGTTGCGAAAGCTCATTAGTACAAATTAAATTAATTCGATTGTCGCAAAAATACGCCGAGCGTTTAGTTACGCTATGCGAACGATTGATCGGGCACTATTTTTAGTTCAATTGCACTATTGAATTCCGATTCTATTTTAATGAGTAGCGATTAACGTCCTATAACTAAATAAGGGAACGCTTACGAATTTTAAGGGGACCTATTTAAAATTCTATACCACCTTTTTCCACATCAACTCATAAAAATGAATGACAGTTCTGTTGAAGTTTTCCACTTTACAGTTACATATTTGTTTTTTAGAATAAACAATCTAAAATACCATCACCTGCATCACCATCCTTCAGTTCTATGGTGTATTCAGAAAAATTAAAAAGTATTGAAGAAGGACCTTCAAAGTATATTTTGAATCTTAATACTAAATTAAAATCATGTATTCGTTATTTCGGTGAAGATGTTTATAAAAGTAAACACTGGTTATGTTGTCTGCTATTGTATCTAACAGATTTTTTAAATTCAGTTCATTTTTTAAAATGGTTTGATTATTTTTTTAACCTGTTACATTTTTTGTATATTTCAGTTTTGTAATTACAAAATTAATGACTAACAAAAAAGAAACTTCATTGTGTTGGTAAAATATTAATTTTGCAGTTACTTATTATATCCCCTTGTATTGACGCCACACTACGTCGCTCGTACTCACCTTATTTCAGTAATTTGACCCCCTTAAGGATTGATCCCCTTAAGAAATGAAGGGGGAAAGGGCTAGTCAAAAAGTACCTCATTTTGGTCTCTTCTCCAATCATCAATATGCATTTGAATTCTGACTAACTGTCTCAGATAATATTCCCGATTGGTACTTTTCAAATTGTCACCATAGACCTAGTGTAGAGTATAATTTGCTTGACATAAACAGCTAATACCTTTACATTAATAACTATCTTTATAGGGGCAGAAATAATATAGAACAACCAAAATGTGTGACGATGATGTTGCGGCTCTTGTCGTTGACAACGGTTCCGGAATGTGCAAAGCGGGCTTTGCGGGAGATGATGCCCCTCGAGCTGTGTTTCCATCCATAGTGGGTCGTCCCAGGCACCAGGGTGTGATGGTCGGTATGGGTCAGAAAGACTCCTACGTCGGAGATGAGGCCCAAAGCAAAAGAGGTGTGTATATACGAAATCTAAATCTTGATTGTACCCATAGACTAATGTCACGTACTAGAGATAGATTGGACACTGATATAAAACATATGGGTCCGTCATTTAGAGCCACCTAGTGATCCGGAAGAAACTAATGGAGAGTTTTGGCATAACATAATTTTAGCGTTCCGTTACTTATTAACGCTAATTAAAACGGTAACGTTATTCAAGCGCAAAATTATTCCTTGTAAAATATAAAATAATAAATATAGACTTTTTTACTCCATTTTATGTTTTATTAGATCATTAGAAGTGTAACATAATTACAACAAAATTAAAATTATAAATACATACATTTTAAACACCAACAATAGATCACATATCGCCTATTTTTTTTTGATTTAACAACTAAATTATAATATAGTAAAAATATTATAGACTACTAATTAACTGTTACTAAAAATACTATATATTACCAACTATGTACTTACTTATTTATGATTAAACTATTTCTTTATTTGGTTTATAAATTATTATTTCTAAAATGTCAAAATGACTTTAATAAAAAAGTTTAGTATCTAACATGAAAATGATGATCGACTGTAAGTATCGGAATGCACAAACTAATAAAAACACAAACTATAAACACAAATCACTGAACTTTCCGACAAATCAGAAATATCTGGGAATATCTGAATTAATAATTATTTAAATAATGATCAAAATAATGATTTAAAAATAACTTGACGGATCACCAACATTTTGTCAACATGTCAACTAGACAAAAACTAGACCACAGACAATAGTCAACATAGGAACTGTCATGTCATCTTCATATATAAATTAGAAACCTGTACTTTAATGTCTTTTGTGCCGTCTGGCAACGCGGAAGAAACTAAATTTGGAGTTCTATAAAATTACCATTGAGTGTCTAGGGCATGATTGTACCCAAGAATATTATATAGTTGTACTGTAATTTTTCAATTATTAACATAATTATGAACCATTCAGATTAGACTCAAACATAATAACATAATACCTATGTATGACAGTTTTCTATCATAGATATTATCCTTTATGTATGAACTATCATATGTATATGTTACGGTTAAAATCCGAAATAAAGGTAATCTCAATATTGCTCGGTTAATTTCGAGAATAACATAAAACAAAACAACCAAACCCAAAAATTAACTTGTTAATGTCGACATTAACCGTAACATATACATTAAAATGACAGTGATGAATGTCTTCTGTCGAAATCGTACCTTCTCTTGTTGGGCAGACTTTATATCAAACCAAAGTTATCCAAATTACATTTCGGCTTTTTATAAATTATAGTAAATTCGAGCAATAATATCAATTTTGAACTTGGATTGCCTTTATTTTGTACTAGCTGATGCCCGCCAACTTCGTTTATAAACGCTATAGTTTGTGAGACACAACCGTCAATAATGTCTATATCTAGTATTTTACTTAAATCACTTTATTTTACTTAAATCCGTCAGTAATAATTAATTTGCACATTTAGAAAATACAATAAAATGTCGAAAACATGGTGCACATCTTATTATTGCTTTTTTCATTATTATTTTCATTTCTAAGGTATTCTAACACTAAAATACCCAATCGAACATGGTATAATCACTAACTGGGACGACATGGAAAAAATCTGGCATCACACATTCTACAATGAACTTCGCGTCGCTCCAGAAGAACATCCTATTTTATTGACTGAAGCACCACTTAACCCCAAGGCCAACAGGTAACTTTCAATTAAAATCAAATGATTCCTGGAATATTGGCAATGCAATTCCACAATTCAACTTTAGAGAGAAAATGACTCAAATCATGTTTGAAACCTTCAACACACCCGCCATGTATGTGGCCATTCAAGCTGTACTATCCCTTTATGCATCTGGTCGTACCACTGGTATAGTACTGGATTCTGGAGATGGCGTTTCTCATACAGTACCTATTTATGAAGGTTACGCTCTTCCTCATGCTATTCTACGTCTCGACTTGGCTGGTAAGAACAATATAATTTACATTGAAACCTTTAGTGTTACAACAGCAAAGAAACATTAATTTATTACAATACAGGATACTACTATAAGTGTATCAGACCATTTCTGGTCTCTAAAGATCATAAGAACTTCGTGTAAGTGTATAGCTAAACTATACAGGGTTTTGCTATAGTGCGTCGGGCATCTGTAGGTCATATAATAAAAAAGTTAGAAATTAGGGTATATTTCAGGAAAATATTTTAACATTTATTTTAATGATATTTTTTAAAACTTAACACGCGATAACTCAAGAATTACTCTAGATATTCAACCTTTCTTTTATTTTGAAATTCGGATCTTTTACAAAATGTTTAAATAAGAAAAATTCGATAGGCTTGTTTTTTTTTCAATCAAAATTTAAAAAAAAAACATTTTAGGGCATTGCAATTTTCAGCAATCGTGTAACTTTTTTATTTATAAAGATTTTCACATAATGTCGGCGAAAAAAATATAGCAAAAATATTAAGAAAGTTTACGAAAAAAAAATACAATCAATTATTTCTAATTGATTTCGAGATCAGTTTTTGAATTCAGAGTTCTAATAGCGCGGCCACTGTCGAACACCAACTCAATTCCACTTATTTTTACCAAAAGTGCAAGTGTTTTTAACTTGCACTTAAAAATTTACAAGCTATAGAGAAAATTACAACGAAATAATATTAATAAGTAAACAAATAAAGTATCACGAGACGTAACTAAATCCTGAAGTTGAAGTTGGAAGCATGATGTACACTCTTCCCTAAAATTTTAAGTACTGATATGGTCTCTGATATGGTACTCATTGCGGCGACCAATGAAAGGACCAAGACGAATCTGCTATATCCCCTTCCACGTCTCTTAGCAATGTGCACAGTTTCTCGGTTTATTTCATATGTTTGGCAACGTTTTTACTATTCTCTCTTTGTTCAGTACATTATAAACGCATTGTACTCTCCTTACATACGGAAATATCGACCCAAGACTAACATTTGCCAGCCCTTAGTATACCTTGAAGAGGTGAATATATTTTCCTGAAATACGTCCTAGTATACAGATTAGGCAAAGATCTTAATGTTTGGTTTAGGTCTGCACTTAAAGCAAATACCTAAGTAATACAGGATCTATAAATAGCCTTATGCCAAAACAATCGTTTTATACTCTAGATGCACGCATTTTACTAAATTTATTATAACGTGTTATAATTAAAAACTGACCATCTAGCCAGCTTTTAGTTATTTAGTGAAACGTTCATTCCGAGTATAACATAAAATGGTTGAAATCTGTGGTAAATTAGTGCAATTTTTGATAAGAACAACATAGTATAAATAACAATATGGAAAAGCTGGATTTAATTTCATTCTATTTTTACAGGTCGCGATTTAACTGATTACTTGATGAAAATCTTGACTGAAAGAGGCTACTCGTTCACCACAACGGCAGAGAGGGAAATCGTCAGAGATATTAAAGAAAAACTTTGCTATGTTGCTTTGGACTTTGAACAAGAAATGGCCACTGCGGCTAATTCAACATCTCTGGAAAAGAGCTATGAACTTCCCGACGGACAGGTTATTACCATCGGTAATGAAAGATTCAGGTAAAATATCCAACTAATTATTTTTTCAGTTTAATGATAATGCTTGAAATAAATCTGTAGGTGCCCGGAAGCATTGTTCCAACCTTCATTTTTGGGAATGGAATCTTGTGGTATCCACGAGACAGTTTATAACTCTATTATGAAGTGCGATGTTGATATTCGTAAGGATCTTTATGCTAACACGGTACTTTCCGGAGGTACTACAATGTATCCAGGTTAGTTTACTTAAATCTAAGACAGGGTTTTTACTTAACCCAACGTATATTTTAGAACCTTATTTAGCTATAAATCTGAATAGGGTAAAGACATTTCGAGGTGTGCTGTCATTTTAAAATACACTGTACTACCTGACGCTTCCGATTTCGGTCTAATTGGAATTGGTTTCTTTTTGCCCTGCTACAAAAAATAAAATAATTATAAAAGATATTTTTTAAATGGCTTCTACACTACTCGCGAAGTAAGACGTAGTATGTCTAATTGGAATAGTCAAGGGAGCTATTATTAGAGATGAGCAAGAAATCGCAAACTGCGATTCAATCGTAGCGATTTTAAAATCGAAATCGCAACCTGCGATTGGCTCTCATAGGAAACTGCGATTGCGATTTCTTCTATTTCCAAGTTTCAATTCAAGCAACTATTATTACTATAGCTGCGATTTGCGACTTCGGTGCGATTTGCGATATAGTTGCGAATGTAATTTTGTGGTCTATTGAAGCACTTTATAGTAAACTGCGATTGCATTTTCTCCATGATATTATTAATTTATAATAGAGAAGCCATTATTTTCTAGGGCCATTATCATAATATACCGGGTGTTTTTCAAAAGTGGTTCACCCCTATAACTTTTTCATATTTTCTGATAAAAAACGAGATTTGGTATGTTAGTATATGACACAAATTAGGATTTACATGCTTGCTTCATTCACGTTACCGTAGATGGAGCTAAGAAGGTTTCGGTAGGATATATACAGGGTGAGTTTCCTACGATGTTCTCTATGGGTATCTCGGAAACTACTGGAGATAGAGAGTCGATTAAATGGGGAAAGAATTGCAGTTTTGTGGGGTCATAAATATGCGCCTTTCAGATTTTTGAAAAAGTTCATGGCTTACTTGATATTTCGAAAAAAAAAACAATTTCGGCTATTTTAAAAATTGTCCCTAACTCCATTATAAGCTGTTTTAGACAAAAAGTTTTCAGATAAAAGTTGTAGATAATCACATCCTTAATGAGACTGTGCCCTCCGTTTTCTTCTAAAACCTGTCATTTTTGACATATAACACAAACATATGTTTTTTTAAATGGAAACCATAGTTGGCTATGACTTCATAAAAAGCGCCATTTTTTAAGCTTTTCAGCGATATAAGCTAAAATATGTTTTCTTCGAAAAATTACTGAGTTATAGCCAATTCTTATAATTTTTACACAATTTCACTTAGTTAGCCATGGAAACAAGTATAATCGTCTTTGCTCTTGGAAATGTGAAGCTGTCACATCTAAACTTTGTAAATTAAAATAAGCAAAAATTGTAAATATGAATTTTTCAAATGAAGAAGAGCGTGTAGGATTATTGGTTCAACTTTTCTTGACCATACATTTTCGAGGATACGTTAACCGGTGAATGTTACGTTTTTTAGAGAACGGTTTTCAAGACATGTTAGAAAAGTTACATTTAGTTATAGCCAATTCTGATCTTTCTTGATTAATTTCAATTGGATTGCATGGTATTTTTATTCTATTATGATTTATAAAAAGTTAGAATACATTACTAAACGGTTCCTTACAATTTACATTACACAAACTAAAACTTAAAAAATAATATCACTGCATACACTTTAAGTTATTTTAGAAAATGTTCAAAAAATCCGCCATTGTTTTGAGTTGCATCTTTTTAAAAATGAATTACTACCTATTCTCATAGAAGGACCGGTCGACTTAATTAAAGTTCTCTCGTACCGCCACTTTTAGTGCCTCTCTTAATTCACAAGTTTTTTTGTAAACCTTATTGTTAACCATAACGCATAACATCGTCGTAATAAAAGTCATTATATATACAGTCATTGGAACCGCTCTATTGATGCGGGAGTATCTATACGTTTTTCTTCATTTGAAAAATTCATATTTAAAATTTTTGTGTATTTTGAAAACAAAATTTGGATGTGACAGCTTCACATTTCTGAGAGCAAAGACGATTAAACTTATTTCCATGGCTAACTAAGTGAAATTGTTTAAAAATGATAAGAATTGGCTATAACTCTCTAATTTTTCGATTATAGCTTATATCGCTGAAAAGCTTAAAAAATGGCGCTTTTTATGAAGTCATGGCCAGCTATGGTTTCCATTTAAAAAAAAACATATGTTTGTGTCATATGTCAAAAATGACAGGCTTTAGAAGAAAACAGGGGGCACAGTCTCATAAAGGATGTGATTATCTACAACTTTTATCTGAAAACTTTTTGTCTAAAATAGCTTATAATGGAGTTAGGGACAATTTTTAAAATAGCCGAAATGTGTTTTTTTCGAAATATCTAGTAAGCCTTGAACTTTTTCAAAAATCTGAAAGGCGCATAACCATTTAACCGACTCTCTATCTCCAGTAGTTTCCGAGATACCCATAGAGAACATCGTAGGAAACTCACCCTGTATAAATAAACAAAATACGAGAAGCGGAAAAGGGGCCAAAAATTAGGATTGATTGACGTATTCAATTGTTTTTAGTCACTTACTGTTTCACTAGAAATGACTACAACTTTTGATTATTAAATGACACCCTCGGTATTTTTTTACTTTCTTCAATAGAAAATGACACTCCGAATAGAATGGCATATCATATGGCAACTTTTGACATTTTTGCTTAAAAAATCGTATTTTAAATTTCAATCTACAATATGTCCCCGGATTATCTTTACAAAAGGTTTTTTTTTATTTATTGACATTTTGAGAAAACGACATTCTTCATAAAATTTTTGTTTGTTCTAAAATGGTTAATCCCGTTTAAGCAGCCATATTTTCATGCTTTTTTTAATTTCCTCTAAAAAGTTTTGGAAATTTGAAAAAGTACAAACGGGATGTAGAATGTCATGGCTGTGTTAAACACTAATTTTAATCAAGAAGCCGTGGAAAATAGATTTGATCGTTTATTGTTTTTCGCGTCTTGTCCGACTGGTATAAATCGAATCCGAATCGTATTTTTAACCATATCTCAACTTTTCAAATTGAACGAGGGTGGCTCATTGGCATATTTAGAAAAAGCATTTTCTGGTTTCGTAAATATTAAAATCGCAATCGCAGGTTACAGTCGCGGCAATTTAAAAATCGCAATCGCAGTTTTGCTCATTTCTAGTTATTATGTGTTTCCTCATGTAATAAAATAAGCCGACGACACAAAGTTAGACGAGGAAACACGAAATAACCCTCTTCACTATTCGATATTGACCTACTTCAGCTTACTTCGCGAGTAGTGTAAAGGCCGTTTTAGGATTATTCCCATTTAAAATTTGAAGAATATTTGCAGATTTTATAACAAAAAACAATTCTTATAGGTATTGCTGATCGTATGCAAAAAGAAATCACTGCCCTCGCACCATCGACCATCAAAATCAAGATTATAGCTCCCCCCGAAAGAAAGTATTCCGTATGGATCGGCGGCTCTATCTTGGCGTCGTTGTCCACCTTCCAACAGATGTGGATTTCGAAACAGGAATACGACGAGTCCGGCCCTGGAATCGTCCACCGTAAATGCTTTTAAAAAGCCGTCAGTTCAGAACCACGATGTGATCTTTCTTATTATAATTATTGATTCAACTAACAAGTCGTACGATGCTCTCTCAGGTCGTAGCACTGCCCCCAAAGACTTAATGTTTCTTTTCTTTCAGTTTGCGAAATGAACATACATACTATGTACTAACATTTTGATTTGTATTATTTAAATTAAGATTAGGAGATTAGATTTTTAAAATACACTTACATTAAAAATATTTATATTAAATTTTATTCAATACATTTGGATTTCTAAGAAGAATTTGATTTTATTACGTCATTCCTATACACGGAATAAAAAAAAACTAATGAAGAACCTTAATATGGCTGAATAGCTGGTTACACACGAGAGGTATTTTTCGCAGATTTGTCTACTTACCGATTAATCCCTCTTATTTAACCGCACGTAGCGGCCGCTTGAAATGTTAGAACCTTTGAGGATTTTGTACCGAGGACGGGATACATCGTTTTAAATATTAGTCATGGCCGGAACAGCGATTTTTTAATAATAGGTACAAGCTGTTCTAAACTAAAGGTAGGTTACCTAATAGGTACAAGCTGTTACAAACTAAAAATTAAAAAAAAACTATCAAATTTTCGAAAAATATAAACTTTTCAAAAACATGTTTTCCCGAAAAAACTCATGAGTATCGAAATATACAACTCCTAAAAATATGTGCACTTATTTAAGACCCACCCTGTATAAGCACTAATGAATAAATATAGATTTATAATTTTGTTATATACTTAAAAAGTAAATTCTTGGAAGAGTTTAATTTAAACAATAACCGACTGTTCTTACACTGTATTTTTCAAAAAAAAAACTATAATGCGATAGTTATATTGCATTTGGCAACATCGCCAGCATTTTTTTTAAATAAAAAATGTTCCTTACCTATTCTGTTTCTGTTTACATTAAAAAATAAAATATTTAAAAAAAAATTATTATAAATTTAAAATTTATAATAAGAATTTAGTTTAATTTTAATTAAATATTTTAAATAACGGCAACAGCCAAATTTGTTTTTTACGCCCCTGTATCCCGATAACAGATAACACCTGAACGGTCGCGTCCGCTAGACTTTGGCTAGACTAGCGAAACCGATATACGACCTCGATTATCAACTCAAACCAGTTCTTTTTACTTAACTGTTTCAAACAGTTCCAAGTTCCTAACTGTTCCAAGCCCTAAACTGTTCCAGGTCGCAAACTGTTTCAAGTCTCAAACAGTTCCAAGCGCTAAACTGTTCCAAGCCCTAAATTGTTCCAAGTCGCAAACTGTTCCAAGTCTCAAACTGTTCCAAGTCCCACTGTTCAGGTTGGGACTTGAAACACTTTAGGGCTTGGAACAGTTTAGCGCTTGGAACAGTTAGGGACTTGGAACTGTTTGGGACTTGGAACAGTTTGGGACTTGGAACAGTTAAGTAAAAAGAACTAGTTTCAGTTGAGAAACGAGGCAGTATTTCGCTTTAGCGACGCGGTCGCTTGGCGTTATATTATCGAGATTGAGTGCGAGTGCACTAATAACTAATATAGTGCATAGTCGTAAAAAAAACAAGGGTGGCGGTTTTCGCAGCGTTGCCGATATTTGGTATATTTAATTAAAATTCAACTAAATTTTTATTATAAATTTGAAATAGGAAATTAATATTTAAAAATACAGAAAGAAAAGAATATCTAATATTTACTATTTTTTATATGTAAAATAGGAAAATACATATATAAAATAAAAACAACTTACATTCCTAGATAATAAAAACAAGCGGTTCCTTTGCCGGTATGTATACATTTTTTACGCAGAGTTTTTTTAATGTAAACAGAATAGGCGAAGAGAATTTCTTACCATCAAAAAAACGTACTGGCGATGTTGCCAAATGCAATATAATATATAATTATCTAATTTTGAAAAATACACTATTAAGAATCTAGTATCACAAATATAGTAGATAACATAATTTAAACAATTCCAAGAATTTATTTCTTTAAGTTTTTATTTTAAGTTGCAGTGTTTTGAAACAGCTGGAACAGTTGGAACTGGAACTGGTATAGGATAGCACATAAACCTGTTCCAATCCAGTTCCAAAACAAATCTGTTTCGAAAATAACAGATCCTGTTCCCAAGCGTCATCACTATTAAATATCTGCTTGTGTACCCCTATAACTTTTTTATTTTTTAAGATAAAAAACGAGATTTGGTATGTTAGTATATGACATAAATTAGGATTGATTGACGTATTCAATTGTTTTCGGTCACTTCCTGTTTCACCGGAAATAACTACAACTTTTGATTTTTAAATAGCACCTTGGGTATTTTTCCACTTTATTCGATAGAAAATGACACTCTGAATAGAATGACGTATTATATGTCAACTTTTGACATATTCGCTCAAAAACAAATTGTATTTTAAATTTCAATCTAGAGTGCCATGGCTGTGTTAAAAACACTAATTCTTAATCAAGGAGCCTTGGAAAAATAGATTTGATCGTCTAATGTTTAGTGTCTTGTCCTGGCCGGTTAAAAGATGCCCAAATTGTATTTCTAATCATATCTCAATTTTTTCAAATGGAACGACGATGGCTCGTTAACAAATTTTGAAAAAGCATTTTTTTACGAATAATTTGATACCATACACTTGGTATTTCGACTGAAATTGTCGTTATGAACTGCATGTTACAATTTAATTTCAAATAAACCATATGCGAAAATGTCAAAAGTTGACATATGATATGTTATTCTATTCAGAGTGTGTCGAAAAAATATCGAGAGTGCCATTTAAAAATCAAAAGTTGTAGCCATTTCCGGTGAAACCGGAAGTGACCGAAAACAATTGAGTACGTCAAACAATCCCTAATTTATGTCATATATTAACATACCAAATCTCGTTGTTTTATCTGAAAATATAAAAAAGTTATAAGGGTGAGCCACTTTTGAGACGCACCCGGTATTTCAATAATTACGTGTTATTAAATATGGAGGGGACAAAAGAAACTTTGATTGAATTAATTGAAATGTATCGACAAAGACCTTATTTATGGAAGATAAGAGATAAAAGTTACTTAAACAAAAACGTAAAGATGCAAGTTTATCAAGAGCTTGTAAACATTTTAACGAGAATTTGAAGTACTCGTTAGCAGATAATTTTTAAAAAAATTATTTTTTGTTCAAGTTGACGAAGTACGGACATGTGTCCATATTCTTGTCTTGGACACATTTTTTATCCACTTGGATTGATTTATCTTTCATCAGTGTTTTTACAATTGAGGAGCAGAAGTAACAAAGGGGCTAGGTGCCATCGATTATCTCACATCAAACGGGCAAATTAAGTGGATAGGTGGCGCTCTCTGCAAGTGATCCGTTGTTTTCAAATGAAAGGGGTCAAGTGCCATAATAAGTATTGTCGAGAATTGATACTATTTAACATAGGTACCTTGCCAGTGGTCATAGCTTTCTTTACTGTGACAGGGATTTCGCGATTATCGAGGAAAGAAAGGATAAGTGCACTCCAATGGTACCTGAGGACTTACAAGATGTAATACTGTCAAGTACACACACCGGTAGATTTGAAATAGTAGATATGTCATAGAAAAAAATATCTGATTTACAAGCAACAGCCAACAGGATCTTATATCTCAAGCAAGTGAATATTAACAAAGTTGTACACGATTGAAAGTTGGCTTTTTCTAAACCAGCATAATAGAAAGCAACTTCGATACTCAAAAAAGAAACAACTTTGAAAAATCTAATAAATATCTCAATTAACCAGCTACTAGACGTTAATAAATTCAAATAACAAGAAAAAGCACTTAATGTCATTAAGTGGCTTTTTTTCACTCAAACGCCGAGGAAATTTCTCTACTTTGATCAAATAATATTTAGCACTTTGCTCGTTTCCCTTTTTCTTTTTTAATTTTTTTTGTTATTTTCAAATTTTCTCCTTTTAACAATTTTGGCACTTAGCCCCTTTGTTACTTCTGCTCCTCAATTTCCAGCACACACAAACCCAAAATGCCACTTTTTTTTCCTTCTCTATCCCGGATCGTTTACCGAAAATCTGCTGAGATTTTATAAGAGTATAAAATATCTAACCCGCGGTTCAATCCCTTCAAAATTTGAGAGAATTTGCCACTAACTAACAGATTTGTCCCTTCACACTCTTCACAGAGCAATTCCGTTCAGAAAATGCGAGTTTTGATATTTACGTTAGTGAAAAATGAAAGATCTATCTCCTCGCAGACCAGATCGGCGGGCTTGGAATGACAGATCGAGCGGCGGGACAGATCGTTTAAAAATACCTCTCGTGTGTGCCCACCTAATTAAATTTAAATTTATCAGCGGCCGGCGTTCGATTTTTTAATGTAAAGTTGGGTTGACTCAGTAAATTTCTGATTTTGTTTTTCGTTGGGCCAATAAACATTATTGGTTATTAAAATTATTAAATTTATTAAATTTTGAATTTTGTTAAATTTTGTTAATTTACGGATTAATCCGTAGTTCTGGCAACACTGTCCCTGGCAACCACCATAACCCCATAACCAAATCAACACTCTCTGTCTATATTTACATGATATTTACATGTTTTTCTTTTAAGTTCTCTAAGTCGATGTAGAAATTTGGAAAAGTATAAATGAGATTATTTGAGAGCATTGTAGAACAAGCACATTTTTTTTGTATAGAATGCTTTTTTGTCAAAATGTTAATATTAAAAAAGTTCTTTCTATTGTAGACAATCCGGGGACATATTGTAAAAAAACAGGTATTCATAAAAATCTCGATGTTTTTTAATCCTTTCAAACGAAAATAACTAGCACATTTATTGGATAAATAAATTTTAGAAATAAGTTTTTAATAAATCTGTCGCATTTTTGATGGAAATTAATTTGCAGATAAGTAAAAAAATAGTACAAATGAATAAAAAGCAGATATAACTTATATAATATATTAAAAAAAATCATTCATAAAAATTTAAACTTTATACTTCCCTCATTAAGATCTATACAAAAACGACAATTTATATTTTCTAACGTACTGCTTGGTAATAGATAAACGCCTTGCCTGGTATATTTATCCCACTCAACACTCTTACCTACTGAAACAGGATGTACAGGACCCGTTGATATAGTACTTTTTGGTGATCCATCTATGCACCATTCAACCCAGAAGGTCACTCCGTTACAACTTAAACCACTAAAGTAACAAATATAAAATAATAAACAATTGATATATAAAAAATAAAGGTAGGTACCGTAAGGTCGAAAAAAAACGGCGTCCAGTTGGCTGGGAAATGACGATCGATGATGTAAATTTACATATAAAATGACAGCGATCTTAATTTCATAGCCATCGCTGACGCCGTTTTTTTTTGATCATACGGTATTTTACAACTCACTTTTGTATAGAAAAAGTATGTGTACTTTCCAAATTTATATTGCCTCCATTTGCAAGATTTACTTCGGCTAATGTAATTTCATCACTAACGGCTATGCAGGGATACTCCCATAATGGTTGAGCTTCAACATTATCATCACTAATATTGCTGGATTCCTAATGAAACAAAAATTATCTTAAATATTGGTATGTAGGTTGTCCCATCATGAATTACTTCGAATAATGTAGCAAAATACACTCAGATGCAAAAAAAGCAACAAATTTTAACTTTTTAACCCAATTTTCATGATTTTTTTGACAAACTATATATAAATATATCAACACTAGCGTGTACCCGCGACTTCGTTCGCGTCGAATTAATCATTTGTAATGGTGATGATAAAGCAAAGCAAGAATTTCCATTAACATACAAACTAGATAAAATTTTCTCACATTTATGTCAGCATGAGAAAAAACAATATGGCGATATTATTATATAACTTGGTAATATTTGAGGGGTAGTTTCATCTCGTTGGAATTTGACTTTCGAAAAATCCGTTTGCCAAAAATAAGCTTTTTACGTCACGCAGTTTAAGCAGAATCGTGGTTAATCAATTACCCAACTTTTGGAACACCCTGTATGATTTTTAAAAAATTTCAAAATATGTAAAAACAAAATAAATTATGCGTGTCCAAGCGTTTTCCCCGAAAGACTAACAGTTTTTAAATAACAAATATTGTAAATACAAAATAAATTATGCGTTTTCTCCAAGCGTTTTCCCGAAAGACTAACCGTTTTTTAAATAACAAATATTGCAATATCCGATTTCCAAAAATCAGCTTTTTACGTCAAGCGCTTTAAGCAGGATCGTGATTAATCAATGACCAGACTTTTCGAAACACCCTGTATACATTTTTTAAAAATCTTAAAATATGTAAAAAACAAAATAAAATATACGTGTTTAAGCGTCTTTTTGGAAACTTGAGCGTTTTTTAAATAAAAAATATTGTAATATTTGAGGGGTGGTTTCACCCCCTTGGAACTGGAATTACGAAAAATCCCTTTTTACCCCCTAGAACCTCTACACCCTAGAATCTACCTGTATGCCAAAATTGAGCTTCTTACGTTGAATAGGTTTGAGCAGGATCGTGATTAATCAGTGAGTCACTTAAGGATTTTATATATTAGTACAGATTAATTCTTAACTTCAGTTTGGTATAATCTTTGGGTATAATCATATTATTAGACTTTATTATACGGGGTTTATCGAATGGTGTTTTTTACCATAATTTTAAAACATCCTGTGCAATAATTTCGTAAGCAAAATTTCGTAAATTTTCATTCGTCATATTACGCTGCATTGGATATAGTACAGTCAATCTGGCGCTTTAACTCCCATTCTTCTTTAAGAATACCAAGCGAAGTTCATTTGATGAAGCTGGTACCGCTTCGCCACCTCTAACCCTCCGGCCAAGCATTTACCAAACGTCGAACATGATGGGCAGTTCTTTGTAGCAAAGCCGTCTTGTCATATTGAAAAATAACTTCAAAAAGAAAAGAAATGATAATTCGAAGTTGTTCACTTCGCTCTTAAAAATTAACCAAGACATGTATTGACGTGACCCAAAAACAAAATGCTCAGGAGACATGGTTCTGACAAAAAAATGATGTTTTAGGAAAATATGTTCACGAAATTATTGCACAGTGTTTAAATTTAAGGTAAAAAACAACTATTCGATAAACCCTGTATAAAAAGCTAAATACTAAAGTTTATAAAAAACTTAAGAATCAGAGTTGAAATATAGAGTTCGCCAAAAAATCATGAAAATTAGGCTAAAAATAAAGGAAATGAAGGGTGTTGGTTTGAAAACGGTTGGTATGAGGTACATTGTGTGTATTTCGATTTTTTGCTTAGAACTGAAGGAAGAACCGAAATATGCAATAATATACAGGGGGTTCCATTTAAAAAAATAAAACGTTGATGTGCCACGACTTTATTACCGACCCTGTATACTTAAATGTATTACCCGCTAATAGATATTTATAAACCCTATAACTTTTATATTTGACTTTTTGCGGTACCTCCTATATTTTACCTAATAATCGACCGTTTGCATACAGAAAAGCGACCCTGTATTTATTAATTCACGAAATGAAAGTTTTTTGTAAACTTTTAATAAACCGTGTTTATATAAGAATACATACAGGGCGATCACTTTTTCACAAGATCACAAAAATTGTCGGAGAACTCTATGGTCGCAGACGTCAATTAATATTTTAAATTTCAGTCCTTTTGATGTATCGTTTTTATATAGCATGACCCAAATCTAAGATATGATGTCATCGACAATTGCAAGTTAATTACCGTCCAATTGATTAGTAATGTCGTCAGCCAGTTAGTAAATGGACCACATTTTCAGCCTTTTAAATGAAAACTTATTGTTTTTTTTCTGAATACAGCTCTATATTCTGGAAGAACTTTATTCAAATAACATAAATAAGTAAAAAATTGAATAACTGGGCAATATAATTTAAAGATTTCTTTAAATGTGCAGAAAATTTAGTTTAAAAATTGCCAAAACCGCATGATATAAATTAGAACACTGGCATTTTGGGAATAAACATTTTATAATTTTCGGCAAATTTAATTTTATTTTAATAGAAACTAGAAATAATTGATTTCTTTATTGCCACACTTAAATTTATTAAACATCTAGATAACTTACCAAAATTAAATCATCAAAGTGTTTCATCAGAAAACCTTCACATGATATCAGGGGAGCTCTGATTTTATGCAAGTGATCAAACTTCACTGCCATGCCTTTTATTAAACATTTTCTTGGATATATTTCAACTTCTCGGTTTAATAGTGTCCTAACATTGTCACTTAAATAAAAGAATAGTAGGTTGTCCCATGGTAATATAGAACTAGTAAAATATGGTTCACCAAATATAACTGTGACATCCTTTAAGTCGATCAACTTTAAATCATCAATACTTTTCAGTATAGTCACATTATTAATGTTGTTAAACTTGATAATACTTTCAAGCACCCTCTTCGAAAGGATATTTGTCTCCAGGAAATATAAATGTTTTGCTCCTAACTTTGCAGCTACCAGCCCATAATAAAAACCTTCGCTTAAAAATAACAAAACACTATTCTTATCAATATGATTCTCAAATAATCTTAAATATTTCTTGTTTCTTTTCATGTCATTAATTTGTCCTATCCTAGTCCTTGAAAAAGCTACATGTAAGCCACACTCACAAATAGGATTTAGGTAATGGATATCAGTAAGCTTAAGATCTGTTCTTAAATTAAACCACAAAGAATATTCATCGTGGCAGCTAATTAAATGTATCTCCTGATCTTTTTCCACTCGTACTTCTTCAGGAAAATAATATATGGCTTGTATCCAGTGATCCCTCCATGGAATATCCACTGTTATTTTTTCTTTTGATTTTGGATGAGCCCAGTATGGTGCGCAGCTTAAAATATGCTTGCCTTCTATATCCATTTGTAGATCCCACCACATAAAAACCATTTGGGCCTTGCCATGGGAAACAGCTTTTAAACTTTGTATCGTTGATCGAGTAAAGACAAAAGGTGTTTTACCAGACCTAATCATTTGAGTTAAATATACTTTGAGTAAAATATAGATAAATATAAAAGTATTAACTTACCAGTCAAACCTAAGCACTGGTATTGGTGGTACTATAGAATTAAAGGATGACAGAGGCAACTGACTAAGTTGAATATCATGTACTGCAGATGAGCCTGGACAAGTTTTTATTAAATCTGGTATTTTTAATAGAATTTCTAAGTCATCATTATAAAAATCTTTTAATTTGTTCCAGTTCTGTGCTAATGGACATTCAACCACCTGTTAAGAATATTTTTGGTATTTACGAGAAAAAAAAAATATAAATTATACCCACCTGAGCATAAACCGTCGCACTTTCGGGAACAACAATACAATCGTTTTCAAGTAAATGCTTATGAGCATGACTAAACGTTGATAGAGCTCCTTCTCCAATTAATTCAGTATCAAATACTTCAGTAACCAGAATGTTACACTTCTCTTTTAAGTCACCCTCTGGTCCAACAGACAAGTCAGTTGATCTTTTTGGTATAACATTAATTTTGTCTTTAAATCCGTTTGATTCAATTACCTTAACAGCACATTCGCTCATTGGTTTAAAAGCCTCGCATGCCACTATACTATCAGCTCCATTTCTTGCTGCCATCATAGATAACAACCCTGTCCCAGTTCCTATGTCTAGCACTTTAGCCTTTTTTCCTCGAGAATGAATTTCATTAATAGCACTAATTAAAGCATTTTCATATAACTGATTCCTCTCTGTATCGTGGAGCATATCAGCAAAGGCCGATCTCGCTACTTCTTGATGATAATCGTATTCCTCATTTTGTATAACCCAGTCGTTATTTCCAGTTAATGGATTTAGTTTTTGTACAAATATACTCATCTTGCATGTATTTTTAATGTTTGGTTTTAAAAGTATTTTTCTGCTAATTTGACTGAAAATCATTTAGGTTATTTTCACAGGTTATCTTTGACACAGATCACATATATTTGATTTTTTATGTACCATATACCATAGAATACAAAGGTTTTAGTTTTTAAATTTATATCATTTGTGAATAATCTAATTTATTTAAGAAAACCTCAATGTTTTATAATATAGCTATTATTTTGAAATTTATGAAGCATAAAGCATTTTTTTAGTTTAAAATATAAAAAGAGATTGTTGTTTTTCCTAAAATATACATATAATAAAAAAAGGAATATATAAAAAAATGTATTATAATTACCGAAAACACAACAAATTTGTACACCTCTATTATTACAAAATAAAACGTTCTGTTTTATACAGAAATCAGAAAAAAAATATGAATTAGCCATTGACGTGATATTGAATTTCGCGCTTTGATGTTACAGGATATGGTGGTGGGGATTTAAAAGCTTGGCGTCGATTTACGAAACTTCCGCCTTCTCGTCCATTTCGTTAGCGAGCGCGAAAAGGGAAGCTGCGTATGTATTCTCTTCGATGAAATTTTTTAAGAAACAGCGGAAAAATGGATAATCCGGGTGAAATAATGCGTTTTTGTAGACTGTGTTTAGTTAAGGACCAAGTTAATATTCCAATTTTTGAAGAACAAGGTGATATTAGGCAAATATTTTTGAAAATTAGTTCCTGTCTGCCGGTGAAGGTAAGTTGAAGATCCGCCATGTTGTCTGTGTTTTTTCAAAATTGAAATTCGACAGATATTTCTGCTTTTTGACATCGTTTTTGTTTACTATATGTATTTAAATGATATTGTTCCAAATCTTTTTTATAATTCTGGTGATTTAATACGATTTTATTTTTAAATTCATTACTTCTTTTCGGCGGCGTCAGCACCTGTTTCCTATTTTACGTCCATACATTTACGTTAACAATTTTTAAAATTATTGATTGTAATTTAAGTATGCTACTGATAACAAATAATTCCAAAATAATAAGTTTAATTTTGGGTGTGCTGCCTTTTTGTTCAATCTTCTCCGTCCGTTTTGAGGAAGCCATTTTGTTACGCGTCATGTTCCGATATTTAATAAATATTTGGTATACACCTTCCGATTTTGAAGTTATATCATTTTCTATTAAGTTTTTGTAGCTGATAAATCATTAAACTTTTTAAAAATATGTGAATATTGTACAACACGAGTATTGATCTTTTTGGCCCAAATGCTCGTGATCGATCGCAATTTTTATTGCAGCTATAATATACCGAGTGCGCAAAAGCAATGCGTAGATTTGTACAGGGCATCTCAAGATACAATTTTTAATGGAGGATAAGCATTCCAATTTTACTAATCATTTTTATGTTACACCTATTTGTTAATTATTACTTAGTTAATATAGATATTTTACTTTTACGTGATCGATCGCAATTTTTATTGCAGCTATAATATACCGAGTGCGCAAAAGCAATGCGTAGATTTGTACAGGGCATCTCAAGATACAATTTTTAATGGAGGATAAGCATTCCAATTTTACTAATCATTTTTATGTTACACCTATTTGTTAATTATTACTTAGTTAATATAGATATTTTATATTTTTTTTTACAATAAAATATAAACACGCTGATTTAGTGAACAAGATGGCGATTGTACCGCCATGTTTTCTTTTAATATGATGATTGTTCTTCACAGACCTGTTCTGAAAATGTTTGATGTTAATTAAGAACGGCCATCTGATATTCAATATTCAAGATATTGTTGAGTTTTTATAAAATGAATCGTGTATTAACGTTATTAATCTTTGTTCCAGGTATCTAGAGAAGACAAATTACCAAAAAAAATATGCGATGGATGCTCGAATAAGTTAGATTTACTGTATGAATTTTGGAATACGTCTGCGAATGCCGAGAAGACATTATTGTCTTGGTTAGGGCAAGCCGGCGTAAAAGATGTAGACCAAACCATTACAGCTGTAGCACAGCAAATTGCCAAGCCCTCTGAACCTCAAGTGAAAGAGGAGACTCCGGAGGATGGCCATGCAGCAGTGCAGAATACTGATCATTTAGGAATAAGCAATTCTGCTGTATTGGATGATGTAAGTCCAAACGTAACACTGCAGTTAAGAAATATTTTTCACCTATTTTATTTTTATTTTACAGAGTTCTGCCAAAGATGAGACTGAAGAACCTCCTCCGAAGAGGGCGCGGCGCACCGCCGCAGTAAAAGCACAAATTAACCTTACTCCTGACTCTGAAGAAGAAGACGATGACCTGGACACTGCCGAGCCCATGACTAAGGTACAGTATGACTTGATTTTCAGTTTTATATTATGAAAGTTAGCTATTGTAGCTAAAGTAAACAACATGTAAATTACATGTTCTCATAATATTGATTAGTTACATAATTGTATTACATGATGTAATACAATTATGTAACTCAGTATTACGAAAATTTTAAAATTATGTTTTATTCATAATCTTGGACAAAAACTAGTAATGTATATTATTCTTCGGAGGACAACTAGGTCTATCACGTATTATTATTTATTGCATTTTGTCAGAATATATCTTCCATTCATAATCTTTATTAAAAAGGGAATGTTATTGTGCTTCAAATATTGGTTTTATGAGAAGTGAGTTCATTTCAATCTCATCTAACTGTAGTTCGCGTAAATGTTTATTGTGCTTGAATTTGAACAATATTTGTTCTCGTTCAACATATTTGGAAAAGTGAATGTTTCCTGTCTTGTATCTTTTCAAAAAGATTTGGAAAGGCGAGTCAAGTACAGCTCTTGATGTTTAATTGTACTAGTAATGGTTAAGGATTGTCGTCGTTGCAGTTTGGAACATCTGATTTTTTTTGTCACCAAGCAACTGATAATAGACAGAAATAACAATTGCTTACAGGTCTGATAGCAGTTAATATGGCTAGAACACATTTTTGAGATAATCCTATTTCCTACCAGTGCAGTTCTGGCACAGAAAACTGGTTTTTTGATTGGCCTAAATTTTAACCCCAAACCAGTTTATCATCAAAATAATATTTTCTCGATAATTTGTTTTTTGATTCATCTCAATTTCTTTTTCTGTTAAAGATATCCGCTTTTGAAGGAAATATTAACATGCATTTGTTTTCCCTTCAATGCTTTTAATCAACACACTAATGAAATAATGTTGAAATATCATATTTATAATGCCACTGTTATTGAATAATCATATTATTGTTTGTTGACAGTTACTTTAGCAAAGATGGCTTTAAACCTAGATCATATATACCGTGTGCGTCTCAAAAGTGGCTCACTCCTACAACTTTTTAATTTTTTTCAGATAATTAAACAAGATTTAGTATATGACAAATTAGGTTTGATTGACATAATTCAATTGTTTTTGGTCACTTCCTGTTTCACCTGAAATGACCACAACTTTTTATTTTTTAAATAATGACACCCTCGGTATTTTTTTACTTTATTTGATAGAAAATGATACTCTGAATAGAATGACATCATATGTCAACTTTTGACATTTTCGCATATGTTTTATTTGAAATTGTAACATGCGGTTCATAATGACAATTTGACTCGAAATACTAAGTGTGTGGTATTCGTAAAAAATGTTTTTCCAAATGAAGCATATAAATGCGAAAGTAAACATTTGACATTTTAAACAAAATTGAGTTAGATACGGTTTTCTAATGTAAAAGTAGGCAGCTATATCATGAACTTACCCTCAATACTATAACCAGACTATTAAGCCTAATATTGATATTTAAAGTTAAGCCTTAAATGCAAAAGCAGACATTTGGTTATAGAAGTTATCTGCAAAAGCAGACATTTGCCTTGGAGCCAATCCGGTTCCCGCGTTAAGTCGTGTGATCTTGCCACGCGCCGGCTCGTTGCTGTAGATCCACTTTGTTTTCTGGCATTTCGGTTTAAAAAACAACGTGGTACGGAATATGTTGTGAGTTTTTTACATGCTAATATGAATAACATTTTGTTTATTTTAATAATTTTCTTCTAAATATTCTTCTATTACCAAATCACACATTTGCAGCTCATTTAAATACATAAAAACAGATATTTGCAAACCTGAGGTGAAAAAGAAGACATGTCAATTTTTTTATAGCAAAATACCTATACTCATAAAAATATCTATACAAATAGATAAACATATTTTTATGAGTACTGACATGATTATTAACAATTTATTGATTTTTAGCCGACCATACCAATAGGTATAGTAGGCTATTAAGATCGACAAAAAAAGTTTTTTTAATTTCACTCAAAATGAGTTATTTGGGTCATAAAAGACCTAAATAAAAAATATTTTCATGGCGTCTGTCTGTCTGTCTGTCCGTCTGTTTGTAACACGATAACTCAAAAACCACTAAACCGATTTTAACCAAATTTGGTACAAAAATACTGTGGCACCCGAGAATCTGGCTATTAGTTTTTGGTGGGGGTGGGGGGTTGGTATGGGAGGGGGTTGATAATAAAAAAAAGCGTAACTCCAAAATTACATTAAGGTTAGGAATAATATTTGCAGCAAAATTTGTAATAACGTCAAAATCAGTCAAAGTCGCAGTTTTTGAGATAAAAAAAATTGGAAAATTCCTTGACTTTGAAACTAAAAGAACTGCCGCCTACCAACTTTTTATCAACATATGGGCAGCTATAGTGCCTCCCGGCGTCAATTTTTTAATTTTTAACTGCAACTTGTTTAAACAGTTGAAACAGACGAGTTTTTACTGATTTACTCATAATTGTTTATGTGTCAAATATCTGCTTTTGCATTTATACGCTTCGAATATGCGAATGAGCCATCCTTGTTCCATTTGAAAAAATTGAGATATGATTAATTTACTAACACAATAATTTGTGTTTCGAGTAACAGGTCGATCGGTTTTTTCGAGGAACAGGTCAATCCGTTTTTGAGTAACCGGTCGATGGTTTCCGAACAACTGATCACTCCGTTTTCTAGTAACCGTCGATCGGCTTACGAATAACCGGTCGATCGGTGCTCGAGTAACAGGTCGATCCGTCTTCGAGTTACCATTCGGTAGGTTTTGAGTAACAGGTCAATTCGTTTTTGACTAACAGGTCGATCGGTGTTCGAGTAACCGGTCGATCCGTCTTCGAGTTACTATCTGGTGGGTATTCGAGTAACATGTCAATCCGTTTTTGAGTATCCGGTCGATCGCTTTCCGAATAACCGGACAATCCGTTTTCTAGTAACCGTCGATCGGTGCTCGAGTAACCGGTCGATCCGTCTTCGAGTTACCATTCGGTAGGTTTCGAGTAACAGGCCAATCCGTTTTTTAGAAAGCGGTCGATCAGTTTCCGAAAGGTCAATCCGTTTTCTAGCAACCATCCATCGGTGTTCGAGTAACCGGTCGATCTGTCTTTGAGTTACCAATCGGTAGGTTTCGAGTAACAGGTCAATCCGTTTTTTAGAAACCAGTCGATCGGTTTCCGAATAACCAGTCAATCCGTTTTCTAGCAACCGTCGATCGGTGTTCGAGTAACCGGTCGATCCGTGCTTGAGGAACCGGTCAATCTGTTTTCGAGTAACCGGTCTGTCGGTTTTTGAGGTAACTGGTCAATACGTTTGCGAGTAATCGTCGATCGGCTTTCGAATAACCTTGTCGATTTTCGAAAAAAATCAGTACATGTATATTATTTCGTATATTTTTCATTTTATTGATTTTATGGGAAGCACTGTTCATTAAAATGTTGTATCCTATAGTTATAGGGCTTGTTTCTCTCTATAATTTCCTGTCTCACAATGTACCGTTTGTGTCCGGGAAGGGATCGCAGTTTTATAGTTGTCGATTTTCGAAAGAAATCAGTACATGTATATTATTTCGTATATTTTTTTTCATTTTATTGATTTTATGGAAAGCACTGTTCATTAAAATGTTGTATCCTATGTTATAGGGTTTGTTTCTCTCTACAATTTCCTGTCTCACAATGTACCGTTTGTGTCAGGGAAGGGATCACAGTTTCATAGTTGTCGATTTTCGAAAGAAATCAGTACATGTATATTATTTCGTATATTTTTTTTTCATTTTATTGATTTTATGGAAAGCACTGTTCATTAAAATGTTGTATCCTATGTTATAGGGTTTGTTTCTCTCTACAATTTCCTGTCTCACAATGTACCGTTTGTGTCAGGGAAGGGATCACAGTTTCATAGTTGTCGATTTTCGAAAGAAATCAGTACATGTATATTATTTCGTATATTTTTTTTCATTTTATTGATTTTATGGAAAGCACTGTTCATTAAAATGTTGTATCCTATGTTATAGGGCTTGTTTCTCTCTACAATTTCCTGTCTCACAATGTACCGTTTGTGTCCGGGAAGGGATCACAGTTTTATAGTTGTCGATTTTCGAAAGAAATCAGTACATGTATATTATTTCGTATATTTTCATTTTATTGATTTTATGGAAAGCACTGTTCATTAAAATGTTGTATCCTATGTTATAGGGCTTGTTTCTCTCTACAATTTCCTGTCTCACAATGTACCGTTTGTGTCCGGGAAGGGTTCATAGTTTCATAGTTGTCGATTTTCGAAAGAAATCAGTACATGTATATTATTTCGTATATTTTTTTTCATTTTATTGATTTTATTGAAAGCACTGTTCATTAAAATGTTGTATCCTATGTTATAGGGCTTGTTTCTCTCTACAATTTCCTGTCTCACAATGTACCGTTTGTGTCCGGGAAGGGATGACAGTTTCATAGTTGTCGATTTTCGAAAGAAATCAGTACATGTATATAATTTCGTTTTGCGTTTGAGGAACCAGTCGATCTGTGTTCGAGTAATCGGTCGATCGGTGTTTGTGTAAACAGTACCGATTTTTTTCCAATGGTGTCGGCGCACGTACCGCCATCTTTTCTTTTTATATGATGATTGTTCTCACAGACCTGTTCTGATAATAATTGATGTTAAATAAGAACGGCCATCTGATACTCAATATTCTAAATATTGTTGAGTTTTTATAAAATGAATCGTGAATTAACCTATCTTATTTGATAATTTTATTTTTTTCAGATTGAAGATGAAAGCGATGAAAGTGACAATGATGATAAAGATCCCTCATATGTAGATGTACCTGGAACTAGTGCCGACGACCAGCCTGGTCCTTCAGGTGTCGGCAAGGATGGCGCCGAAGCACCGTGAGTACTTGTTTTTTATTTCAACCCCCTCCCATAATTGCGTCTGGATGTATTCGGGACTAAACTTAATTTGTCTCTTATTTTATATAGTTTGTTTCATTTTCGTTTTTAGTCCTTTTAAATATATTACTGCATTCATGAAAATATAATAACTTGATTGGGAAAATATTTTACTTCATTAATTAAGAAATTACTTTTGTTGCGCCTATGAATTTAGTCAGTCAGATAAACTTAAAAGAATATTTTAGTTATGCATAAATTATGGTCATAAAGACATACTTCTCTCACTTAAATACTTTTATACTTAACTCTATTTTGGAATTTAAATATTAATGTATGACGCTTTTTTTTAATACAATTTATTCAAAAAATATTTTCTATAATATGAATATATTCAAAAAAAGGTAAGTGGTTTTTATTTATTTTTACTCAGAGACAAATTAGTACCTTGTAAATGATATGGTTTTGGTATGTTTATCCAGTTTTAACTTTTATTGATAACTTTATGACAAAATGCCTGTTTTTATATTTTAAGTCATTTATATATTTGAATTAGATCAAAATTTAAAGCATTTTAGGAATACTTCGGCCTTGAAATGGATTGTCAATTTTTTTGTTTACCTATTACTTCTTGGGTATTCAATGAATGGTCAGTCTGTTGTAGGGGCACTAAAATGTACATTATATATAAGTTTTGATCTATTATTCTATTTCTATCTATTATTAACCTGTATTGAAGATAATATATTCTCAGGCATCTTGTCAAACCCGTTTGATTTCTATATGTTATTTACATCCAGGCGACGCAAGTAGCAACAAAAATTAAATAACAATATTTTGATGTACAGATGAAAATTTAAAGTCAGGACAGTTTGTTAATACCATAATATTTAATTTTTGTTGCATTTAGTTATTAGTTTTAAGTCGTAGTTGTGTAATATTTTCTGTTTTGTTTATATATTTCTTCATTGTTTGCAATTGGGGCAATGAATTATTTTGTTATTTATTTTCAATCTCTTTTTGACATTGAAAATACATGTTTGTTTTTTTCTTGTACGACATTTGACGTTCAAGCTTTAAGGGGTTAAATTTTATCAAAACTGTTTATTTACAGTTTTGTATGTCTAAAGGGAAGATCTTTTTAAATTTATTCAGTTATTCTTCCAGTATCTTGTAATCATGTTATTCTTGGAAGTATAAAAAATATTGCTGGTGACATTTGGTTAAAAACTGACTCTTTTGTTCAGTTCTTTAAAATGTAGCCATCATTCAGTTTGGTTCAGTTTCATTTTAAACTGAATTATTATGTAAAGGCTTAAAATGAGTATCATATTTTTGATACTTATTATTTTTTACTTTACATTCATTTTTATACATTGCAAGGGTCATATATGATTATGAAATACTTGCGGCATGATTGAATATTTTTAATTTCAAAGTGTGTAGTGAAACAAATCAAAAAAATGTCAATATCTAAAAATAAAGCAAATAGTTTTAGAAATGGGCTTTTTTGTGGGTGAAAAGTAAAAGGGTGGGAAATTTATCTGATTTTCAAAATTATATTAGTAAATATTAGAGCATGCTAATTTTTTATTGTGATATTGTTGCATGTGCTTTAGTCATATATGTATGAATGATGTATGGTATGAGTGGAGAAACGTTTCTATTTAATTTGCGGTTCATAATTCATAAAAACTGATCAGGGAAATGTATGTAATGGAGCTCCAATATTCTCGAGAATATTTATGAAAAACTAGATGTTTAATTATTTTTTAATAGGTAATCTAAGTGTAATGGTTAGATGCTAATAAAGTTAACACCCTTTACCTTTTAAAATATTTATAATATTAAAATAAGATTCAATAGTAAGTAAGGCCTCTACGAATGAAGAAAGAAGATCCAGTGTGCCCTTTGATATGGTCCATTCCGTCGTCCATTTTGATCCATTCCATCTAGGGAGACATGTACGAGTTGACGAGAATAAATTTTGTTTTGCGAAATTCTGTTTACATTTTTAGTTAGTACCTTTTTTAAAAAAAAATTACATCAAAGAAAGCTTAATTAAGGGGACGTTCAAGATTTTTAGAATGAAAAAAGTAAATAATTAGAATTTTCTTAAATCTGTGCTAATCCATATCAGACTAGATAAATACCATTAAAATAAACATTTTATATATTTTTTTGATGGGGATCATGTTATTTTATGTCATTTATTACACTAGTAATATTAATTGAATTTGAACATAACTCTTGGTTGGGCTTTTTATACGGATCATTTTTTCTAAAATTTAATGAAAATAGTAATGTGGCACAAAGCAAAGCATATTCAAAACATTAAAACTCACCAGGAGTTGAAGTTAATTTAGTTATTTAGATCTTTATTTTTAATTCAGATATGCTTCGATGTACACAAAGATTTTAGTTCTGCGAGCAACATGCAATGATTCATGTAGAGTAAAGTAAAACAAACAACAATTTGCATTCTATATGCATTGAAGATTAGTTTGTCTATATTGAAAGCATATCTGAAGGGGGAATATGACGCATTTTAATTTTTAGAATATAAATTTTAAACGGTTCACTATTACTAGTGTCTTATACAACGTTGGTATTACTACATATTACTTTCGATTTTTTGTTTGAATTAATTATTTCTAGCTAATCTTGGGTAGCGGAAATCGAAGTTCAATCCTAGATCATATAAACCAATCATGGAAATTTATTTGGTATAGACATCAATTTAGCTATTTTATAAAAATATTACAAGGCGTCAGAAAAGATCATAAACTGCCAAGAAATTAGTTAAACGAAATTTACTGTTATGCAGTAAGGGCTAACAAAAAATATGTTTAGGTTAGATTGAGCGTCAATATGCAACAAATGATTGAAAAAAGCGGCGTCAAAGATGGCTGTGAAATGACAATCGATGATAATTTTGGACGGGTTAATCTCTAGACCTCATTTACTTAAAATTCCCGTAAAACATGTCTTAAATTAACACTAATTATAAAAAGATGAATTAAAAAGGGATGGTTTTTCCAGAAACATCTATTTTCAAAAAATAATTTCTTGAATTTTTAACTACACAATAAATAACAAATAATAAATATATGATAAATAACAAAAATAAATAAACCTTATGGCCAGCTTGCAGTAAGCGCGATTAAAAAATAAAGAACGGAACGGGCCAAGTAAATGACGTCTAGGGCTTGATCTCGCCGAAATGTGAATTTCAGTCGTATTTTGGTCATCGGTTTTAAATAATCGATCTAATGCTCTAAAATTATCTGGTTATATTTATGATCTAGAGTTGAAACGGTCGTCGAATGTACAGGGTGGTCGAAATTGGTCTGTTTTAACAGAGAAAACCTATTTCCTGACTAGATAGAGCAAAACCGACATAGATGTCATGGGCTCGATTTCTGAGAAACGTTTAATGGCGTAAACCGCCTGTTGATATTTTCACTGCCAACTAAGATACGCGGTCTTTTTGAATTTTTTACCATTTGGAAAATTGTCCATAACTTCTGTATTTCGCGGAATAATAACATTCTGTAAAAACTTTCTTAAGGCACTTTTTTAAGCACAATCCAGTGGCGTATTCAGTTTTTTTATACTTGCTCTTTTTGACAGAAATAATAAAAAATATAATTTTTTAAATGGAAATCATAGTTGGCTATGAACTTAAAAAAATGCTGGCGTTTAACCCTTTCCAACCATATTATGTGTATTTATTTCTAAGAATGAGAGAAATATTAGGTTTTTTATCTTTGTATCGAAGCGGGCCTTGGTTTTATGTTGACCTATTGCCTAATTATTTTTTATCACAACTTAATTTTCTATATTACTATTTATCTGCATAATTAAAAACTGTTGAAAAGGTAAATCAACATTCTGTATTAGTATTACCAGTTACAATTAAAACACCAGCGTTACAACTGAACTATTAAATGGAGAAATTAGAGAGAATTGGAACAAGGTGCCCATATCTTGGCCTGCTAGGTCCTGCGATTTAACTCCTTTCAACTTTTTTATGGGGGGAATTAAAAGATATATAAGAGATATATTGAATAATATAATATATCATTGGGACGAGAGAAGGAATAATTGCTGAAGGCTACTAGGCAAGCTTTTGGACTTATTACACCAGTTCGCCTAATCAAAATTGTAGTAACCCTGTGCTCAAAAGATGTTTATTGTGTATTCAACAAGGAGGTGATCAGTTTGAACATCTTTGATTTTTTTAGAACTATATTCGTCACGCAAAAAATACGTTTTTTAGTTTTGTTCTTTGCTTGCACCGATTTCAGTTGTAATTACTAATACTAATAATTACCATTACTACTAATAGAATGTTAATTTACCTTTTCAAAAGTCTTTAATTATGCAGATAAATAATAATATAGAATAATAAATTGTGATAAAAAATAATTAGACAAATAGGTCAACATAAAATCAAAGCCCGCTTCGATACAAAGATAAAAAACCTAATAATTGTTTCATTCTTAGAAATAGATACTTATACCTTTATATCGTTGGAAAGGGTTAGACGCCAGCATTTTTTTAAGTTCACAGCTAACTATGATTTCTATTTAAAAAATTATATTTTTTATTATTTCTGACAAAAAGCGCAAGCATAGAAAAAACCTGATTACGCCACTGGATTGTGTTTAAAAAAGTGCCTTAAGAACGTTTTTACATAATTTTATTATTCCGCGAAATAAAAAAGTTATGGGCAATTTTCAAAATGGTAAAAAATTCAAAAAGACCCCTTATCTCTGTTGGCAGTGAAAATATCAACAGGCGGTTTACGCCATAAAACGTATCTCGGAAATCGAGACCATGACATCTATGTCGGTTTTTGCTCTATCACGTCAGGAAATAGATTTTCTCTGTTAAAACAGACCAATTTCGACCACTCTGTACACTTTCTAACGACTAACTAAATTTGATACGGTGTTAAATAATTTCTATGGTAGTGCAATTAATATTGGTAATTA